ATATATATATATACACAAAAGGCCGAGTTATTGTGTCCCATCATTGTAACAGTTTATTTCGACAGCCCTGATTCTGAAACTCACAAACCATATGCTCGCCCCTCCGGATCGCCCAAGTCCCTTGGTTTATATGAAATTTAAGAACTATTTCAGATCGAAGATTGTCCCAGAAACACATAGAGTGGGGTCAAAAATTCGTTGCGCAACTTCTGTCAAATATCTTCTCAGCTATCGAATATAAACTCTCCCGCTTTTGCACAGTGACTTGTATAAATTTGTCTTAACAGATCAATATTTTTTTAACACCTGTTAGCGCTATTCTAGAACATTCCTTTATAAAAACTAATTTAAAAATCCCAGTATGTCGTTTCTACTGATTTTAGAAGTTTTACAGCTGGGCCAATATCGCTTTTAAAAGCACGTTCGTCATTTTTTTTTCCAATCGCGAGATTATCTTTGTTGAACGCATGTTTTGAGACCTTTTAGTGCAAAAACAATGTTCATTAAAAATTAATTTCGTTCAGCAAATTTGGCCACTAAAAAGTCATTTGTTAGCTGTGACGTAGGACATAATAATATGCGTACGCAGAATGTGTGTGAGAAGCGCGAAGTGCTGTGAACAATTCCATTTTTCGCGTGAAGGAAATTTGTATCATTTTACGTAAACTATGGAAGAAATATTTAAAAAAATCTAGCCTCAATTGTTGTGGAAAATATTGATTAAGCTAAGACAAATTGATGCAAACTGCTGTGCAAAGTATGGGTGACATTGATTCACCTGTTCAAAAGATATTTTAGTGTAAGTTGCCCCACAAATTTTTGACCGTACTATAGGTAAGTGCCAGAAAGAACAGGGTGAATTGACTGAAAAGGCTAACAGGTAATGCTGCAAGGGAATAGCACCTTATACAGAATACCTTAAAAACAGGCAAGAAAATAGACAATCCTTCGTCTCCAAACTTATCCCATGCTGTTCCAAGCTACGAAGTGGCTTGAGTGAAACTTTTCGTTCCGTGCAGTTTTGAAACTGCACATTCCCAAAGGACGCTATTATTGTCTGTGCGCAATTTTGATGAATACAGAAATGAATCTTCCTGCTATAAGTAGTTTGTATGTGACATCAATATGAAGTTCTAACCTTTGACAACATAGATGTAGGCCTCACTTTTAGGAGCACATTTATTTTCAAACAAAAACCCACAGAGAGAGAGAGAGAGAGAGAGAGAGAGAGAGAGAGAGAGAGAGAGAGAGAAAGAGGGAGAGGGGGGGTGTCTGTAATTAGATGCTTTTTTATTTTTCATGTCACACAATGGAAGACCAATTACATTTCTCATTATCTGCACGCAGTCTGTAATCGTGCATGCAGTTTTTTGTTGTGTTTTTTTTTTACCGCTCGAATTGGTATGCTTAAAAAAATTCTTACGTCCGTCCTCTTGCCCCCCCCCCCTTCCACAACGTTCTGACCGCTATATAAGATGGGCCAAAAACTGTCCTTGCTCGAATACTACAGCTTCCACGATGCTCAGATTGGTGCTCTTAGTTTGCTTGTTCTGCGTTAGTGCGCACGCTTTATTTATAAGCGGTAAGTAGTAAAGTAACGCGTGTCTTTAGACACCCGGACATTATGTCAAGCTCCCATGCACAACATTTTGACAAAATAAGACTCTAGCTGTTTCCACCCTGGTTGTCAGTTCCAGTCCAGGCAAACTAAGTTTGTGGTATTTATTCCACTAAACAGAGTTAAGAATAATATCTTTTCATCGAAGGAACTAAACTTTCGTCTTTTGCTTTTAAAGTGGAAGATCTCAACCGTCACTTCCTCGGCGCACACTAAGAAAATTTCCCCCGTCGCATGGCTGCGAAGTACGAGTATAAGGTCACTTGGTAGTGGAGAGAAAAGAAGAGGCGAAAAATTGCCCGATTTCCATACTCCCAGTCGTGCGACGTACGGAAATATTCTTAGAGTGCGCGGGGCCTTACACAAAGAATACCAGTCTTCCATCCGGTTGAGTAAGCAGAACAAACTGACCTTTATAGCTATGCTCTAAGAATCTCACGTTATCGCTTTTTGATCAAACAATGTACTACGAATATTTTGGCTGCAAGCCTATTCTTTGGCTGTACATTTATATTTATTCTTTCTGTTTTCCCAGGAAACAAATGGAACAACCTTAGAGGTAAGGCTAAATCTTCTATGTCAGTTTCAAGCTTTGGGACCAAACAAGTTGCCTATTTTTTAACGAATGACAATATTATTGAAACAGTGAACGAGGTTTTTAAAGTTTATTTCATAATTTAAGGTGAAAGAAAAACTTCTATAATCCTACCACTAACACCACAATCAAGTGTAGACCTTTGAGAACTAGGGAACGTTTTAAGCAAACTGGAAACATACTAAAACTACTACAACTTGTGAGTTTGCTGTGTGAGACATCGTCATCGCCATTTTATAATCGCCCAAATCAATTTCCGAAGGTTTCCAGAAGGTCATTCTTCTACAAAAGGCATCCAAGGAGGCGTTGCTTCCTTAATATAATGTATTTTCTTGTTACTGTAGTACTTGTTTTTATTGTTGTTTTTGTTGTTTTTGTTGTTGCTGCTTCTGCTATCGTCGTTGTTGTTGCTGTTATGATTATTATTGTTGTTGTTGTCTTTCTTCTTCTTCTTCTTCTTCTTCTTCTTCTTCTTCTTCTTCTTCTTCTTCTT